CTGCTCGGATTTAGCTCAGCTCAGCGAGTGGCCTCTGCAGACTTGTTTCCTCCTCTCCGGAGCAGGCAGGGCAGCCACCCCTTGCTTTTCTCTCTGTTCTTTCCCTTCACTCTCCTGTGGCCCAGTCGGGGGAGTAGTTTTGTGTGGGGATGTTACGGGACAGCTGTGCCACAAGCCACGGCATGACCCGTGAAACGCCGGCAGAAGGCAGGGTGGAGCTGCACCTTGCACACTAACTGAGTCAGAGAGGCAGAAGCGCTTGCAGAGCTCACTTCGGTTGCTGTGGAAGATGATGTGGTGAAGTGAGCGCTTACTCACAAAAGCTTGTACTTACGCGTCTCTGATTCAGTTACCCTAGAAGGCACATCTCTACCCTGGCTTCAGACTAACACTGCTACCTGCTTCTCTCTGCCCGGGAAGTACTGACCTGCAGAGAAACCGGTTACTAGAGAGGTGCTACTGCTGCTCCCTTTGATGGAGGGCCGAGGCGGAGGTTGCAGGAGAAGCCGTTCCCAGGTCAAGACGTGCCCATCCAGGCGTGGGAAGTTGCCCGGGGGATTAGACGGTGCTGGAGCAGCAGCTGTCAGTCAAACCCAGGGCTGGTGCGGGCGCAGAAGAGGAAGGCAAGGAGGGTTTATCTCACTTCAACCATTGCCTAGCAAAGAAATGAGACGACTCGGTATATGCACCGGGGGAATTGCAGCAGGACTTCCCCGCAAGGGGGAGGCAGCACGATGAGCTGCCGGAGGGGTCAGCGCCTCGGGGCGGCGGGGGTGTTTCAGGTGGTGACTCGGGATTCAGCGGGAAGATGCGAGGTCTGATGAACACAGGCCTTGAGTGGATGCGGTGCGTGGGGCCGAAGCGCCTGCGGGTGCTGGTGCTGGTGCTGGTGCTGACCCTGGGCTGGTAGCGCGCGCGGCCGGGTGCCGTTTGTCTGGCCGGAGCGCTGGCTGGGACTGATTCAAGCATCTGGCCCCTTTGGGTGGAACTGAAAGCTGAGGTTTGGCTCTTCCCCTTTTTTCTCTCTCTTTCCTTCTTCCTCTAGACATTGTGCGCAGCGACATTGCCCTGGATAAGCAGAAAGGCTGTAAGATCGCCCAGCACCCAGACATTATGCTGGAACTGCAGAGGGAGAAGGCAGCCCAGATGCACTTGGTTTTGTTAAAGGAGCAGTTCTCAAACACGTACAGCAACCTCACGCTAACAGGTAAGGCGGCAAGGTCGGCCCCAGGGCCCGGGGCTGTGGCTCGCCCTTTGCTAGCTAGCCGAGAGCCGCGCGCACCCGGCTCCTGCTGCCTTCCTACCAGGCGTCTGGGCTGGTTGGGATCCGCCGGCCGCGGCGGAGGAGCCCCAGCATCTCCTGCAGGTAGCGTCTCCCCGGTGTCTGGCGCTGGGGACACGTTTCCCAAAGGCTCCACGTAAGCGGGCCGCGGTGGAAACCAGCGCTGCAGAGATGCCCCTGCTAACCGTTCCCGCAATTGCTAAATTTGGAGTCCTTTGAGCCTCAGCTCTCTTTTTTTTTTTCCAGACCATGCACTTTACATGAACCCAGTAAATATTAAAGAGCAAATGCAAAGAGATAATGGTGCAGGCGGGGCTGAGATGAGACTGTATCCTGGCCGTGTTTGTATTATCCACAGACCAGAACCTGGAGGGAGGACGGGGGCTGCCGCATTCTGGGCACCCGTGAACGGGGCTCGTCTCCAGGCAGGGAGGGCTGGCGGGCTGGGCTGCCAGCCCCCGCCAATGCCCCTTGATGACTGCTCGTACCACCCACAGCCCCGTGAACCACAGATGCATAAACGGAGGAGCAAAGAGGCTCATAAATCAAGCCGAGGCCCTGGTGCCCCGCAGGGTGGTATGCAGGGGCGGGGGAGTCCATACAGCCGCTGCAGAGATGGATGCCCCTCTGCAGGGCCCGGGGTGGTACCTGGCTTTGGGCGTGCAGACCCTCCGCACGGCGTGGCGAGCTCCAGCCGAGCAGGAGGGAGAAGGGAGCTGAGCCTGGCACTGCCTCTGCCCCCGGCGCGGCTCCCGGGGGGCCGGGTGGGGGCTCCAGAGCGTGGCTGGGGCGCGGGACCGGCTGCGCCGGGGTCGGAGCGGAGCGTGGCCGACACCGGGATCCTCGGAGCCGTTTCTCAGTAACATAATCTGCTTGGCTGTTTATTCCCGGCACAACTGCTGGAATCAACACTGTCAGCTTCGCCCCTGACAACTTGCTTACTTTCCACTAAACAAACTTCCCGGGAGAGCCGGGGCTGTTCCCTCCCGAGCGCCTTCCCGGGCCGCCTCCGAGCCCTTGCAGGCGCTGCCAGCGCCTTCCCCGACCTGGCAGAGCAGAGGCGCTGCCTGCGGATCAGGCCGGCTCTTCGCCTCCCTGGGCGTTTGCAGGAGCACGCGGACGTCCGGGGAGGCAGAGTCGCTTCGTTTTCATACCGCACCGTTAACGTGCTCTCGCGCCCTGCGACTGCGAGTGGTGCAGCTTCGTAATTGTTATGAAGTACAGGCTTTGATTTCGTAGACGTGGCCTGGGAACACAGGCTCTAGACAGCTAAGCATAATATTTAACTGGAGCTAGACTAACTTGTGTAAATATTTCCCCTCTCGGTGATGGATTCGGTCTTTTTGGGGTGGACGGAGGGGGTTGGACGTCTGCTGTAGAGGGACCTGCCTTGCCTGCAAAGTCCGAGCACCTAGGAGGCGCTGGAGGAGGGTCTCGCCTGCGCCACCCTCGGCTCGGGCTTGGACGGAGGCTCCTGGTCGGAGCGGCATGCGCCGGGGCTCGGAGCGGCGGTGTGCAGAACGGCGCAGCGGTCCGGGGCTCTCTGCACACGCGCCGGGTTCGCGTCCCAGGGGTCGGCTTTGTCTGTCATCTCTCCGCACCGCAAGTCCCTTGCCAGACCCATCAATGAACCTTGAACCCCAAGGTCCCCTTTGCTATGAGCGGACCTTAAACCCAAAGCCTTTTTCCTAACGGGCCCCCTGTCGTCGCTGGTTTGAAGCCACCTTCTGCTTGCTTCTGGTTGCTCTCGCCTGGCCGTGGCCTCCTGGTTAGCCTGGCTGCACGGACACCTACACCCTCCTCCCTCGCACCGTGCAGTCGAGTGTCTGAGGGGTCGGCCAGAACCGGGGTTTCTCTCGTGATTCCTTTATCCTGCGTGGCTGGGGGACAGCTTCTCCCCTCCACAAGCCCGGGGCAGGATGCCTCCGAGCTAGAAATGTTTGCTGAGGTAACGGCCGCAGCGGCTCTGGAGGGGCTCCTGGCCCCGCAGGCTGCCCAGCCCAAAACCTCCTCCTCCTCCTGGGCCCGGAGTTGACTTCAGCCGTTTGCAGCCTGGCTCCAGCTGACGCACCGTTCACTGGGCGCCTGGTTCACTGGGCCGCGCTTCTGTCTTGCCCATCTCTGTCTGCAAGCTGGAGTCCTTTTTCACTCCCAAACTCCTGCTGCTTGGGAAGAGGCTCTGCAAACCCTGAACGCTTGCTTGTGGGGAAAGCCGGAGAGAAAGAAGTAGGCGCAGGCAGGTCCCAGCAGGAGAGGGAAGTGATAGAAAACCATTGCTGGCTGCAACAGAGTGGAGAGCGGCTAAATATTGCAGTCACGAAAGGAAAGACCCCAGGGCCCCGGCTGGCCTAGGCCTTGTCCATGGCAGCGTTAAAACGGTGTGCCCTGCCCCTGGTTTGGTACGGTAAGACCAGTGGGAATGTCCTCTAAGGTGGAACAGCAATCCCTGCGTGGACGTGGACAATGAGGGGGAAGGGAGCTCGGGAGGTCGCATCTATCCAACCCCTGCTCCAAGCAGGACCAGCCCCAGCTACACCCTCCCAGCCCAGGCTTTGTCGAGGCACCTTTATACCATACAAAGGCATCCCCTGGTAGAGAGAGGTTAAGGAAAAGTCGCCCTGCGGCTTTCGCTGCCCGGAGCACCCTCTGCTTCGCCAGCGCCAGGCAAGGCGGGTCTCGCTGCAGGACCCATTTCCCTTCCTGCTCTCACCAGGCTCCGGCGTCTGGGGAGATGGCTCATGCTGAAGCTGCCCAGAGCGGTTTGGCTTCGCCCCGAGGCCAAGGGCACAGGAGCAAGACTCGCCCTTCATCTCTGGAGAAGCTCCCTTCCCCTTCCTGCTGCCCTCCGGCCTCGCGGGGGACGGCGGTGATGGCAGGCAAGGCCGTTTGTGTTGCCAAGACCTAACAAAGCCTGGCGCGTTGCACGACAACGCTCTGTTTTTCATTGCTCAGAACTTTGCCAAACTTGAATAATTTGGCCTGAAATTTCTGGTGTGGGATGTCTGCCTTGGGCTGACCCCACCCGTTTCATTGAGAAAGCTCGAAAGCCTCCAGGCTTTGGCGCCGCGTCTTCGAATCTGGCAAAGGGGGCGCCCTGATGTGAAATTTGGCTGAGTTTCGAGCCCTGGAGAATGCGCTTGCCCTCATTAAGAGTTTGGCTGCGGTTCCATCCAGACTGAGCCTGCTCCAGCCCCTCGCGGCTCCTGGTGCGTGCAAGAGCCCAACTGGGGCAAAGCAGGCCTTCCCTGGGGTTTGCTCCTCCTGGCTGTGCAGGCCAGGCTCCAGGACCCGGGGCAGGGACATCGGCTCGCTCTCCTCTCCCCGCCTCCCTGGGCCCTGGCTGCAA